GGATGGCCGAAAGTCTAAGTCAATTTCGGCCGAAACCGAAGAAAAACCGAAAGTTAACTTTTCTCTTTCGGCCGAAACCGAAATTAAGCCGAAAGTTAACTTTCCAGTTTCGGCCGAAACCGAAACTTGGCCGAAAGTGATAAAATGGCCACTTTCGGCGCCGAAACCGAAGCCGAAGCCGAAATTCGGTCGGCCTCTAATCCCAGTGTCACTTTCTTTTCTCTTTATGTTGAGGGGCGTCATGTTTGGTAAGGTGGTTGGCACCCAGTCTAACTAATGGTGTTCGAATGTTGAGTCTGGGTTTGGTTGAGATGTTGTTAGGCCAGTGTGTCGGGATGATGGTACGGATTTTTTTCGAGTTTTCGGCTTTGTGTTTGAATTCTCAGCTTTGCTACAATATCATGAATAGTCATGACGTCTGTAGCCGTAAGACATATTAAGTATAATTATATTTATCGTTTCACAAGATTATTCAAAGTTTTAAGTTTGTTTATTATAATTACTTTCATGCATTATATATTAAAAACTCAAAATTGAACACTCAGTAGACATCAAATTACTTAATTTAACATTTACATTGTATTTACATTTTGGAAATAATAAGTAGTACCTTAACGACAAATGACGAAGTCACATCTCACTACTGGTCACTGGTGATCTTAACCCTCCAGGTTTATGCGGACTTCGAGATCATTCCCAAAATAGACTACTGCACGAGCAATCACATGGAGATATGGCTGGGATCACTGTACGCCTATAAAGGTCTTCTACTGGTGAGTGTTGCAGATCTGGTTAGGTGGGCCCCTCACTGTACGCCTATAAAGGTCTTCTACTGGTGAGTGTTGCAGATCTGGTTAGGTGGGCCCCTCACTGTACGCCTATAAAGGTCTTCTACTGGTGAGTGTTGCAGATCTGGTTAGGTGGGCCCCGTGTAAAAGCAGTGGTGTATTCTTTTGTTAAATAATCATACTCTAGCGTGGGTGGGGGGACCCACACAGACCCTAGCCTAACTATAATATTTTTGGTTACGAATGCATGTTTAACTTACATAATGATGATAGGGCGGGGGAATTTCTTTAAACTCGATGAAATAACTTCTTCCGATCCAGTCCTTGATACCACAATGACTCCACAATGACTCCACAATGGCTCCACAATGACTCCGCAATGACTCCACAATGACTGCACAATGACTCCACAATGGCTCCACAATGACTCCACAATGACCCCACAATGACTCCACAATGACTCCACAATGACTCCACAATGACTCCACAATGACTCCGCAATGACTCCACAATGACTCCACAATGACTCCACAATGGCTCCACAATGACTCCGCAATGACTCCACAATGACTCCACAATGACTCCACAATGACTCCACAATGACTCCACAATGACTCCACAATGACTCCACAATGGCTCATTGGGTTAAAATTCTAATAACTTTAAGACTTTAGACTCAGACTTAAAGTATTATATTTATCTTTAAAACTTCATACAAAAATGTTCCCCAGATCAATGAGAAACACAGAAAATACTTTTTAACTGATTGAATTTTATGATAAAGAAATTATGCTTAATGTCCACACATACAACAAAAGAAAACGGTATTTCAACAATAATTGCGTCTTGACTGCTGTCCAGGCCTTCGGCGTCTTCCTGGCCTGGGAGACGCGTCACGTGAGCATACCCGCCTTGAACGACTCCAAGTACATCGGGATGTCCGTGTACAACGTCGTCATCATGTGCGTGTGTGGGGCGGCCGTGTCCTTCATCATAGAGGACAAGCCCACACAGAGCTTCATCATCATCGGCCTCTTCATCATCTTCTGTACCACCATAACACTGTGCCTTGTGTTTCTGCCTAAGGTAAGTGTGTGTGTGGGGGGGGGGGGGNGAACTTTTTTCCACACAAACTTGTTGAAATTTCTGTAGTGGTCGCAGGTCAATTGTGGTCAAATTATTTATTCATTTCTGGCTTGGCCTACATAGATGTTTTGGCCAAGGATTTAAGATGACACTATTTTATTTTATTTTTGTCAGTATAGTTCATCTATTAGAGACAAATCAAGTCTTGTGTGGTGAAAATAATGTGACCATCTAAACATGCGTAATCTTTTTTAAAAAAAAAAAAAGAAGAAAAAAAAAAGAGATACAAATTGAAATAAATGTGCTGATTTTTTTAGTGAATCTTGCTCACTGAATTATGTTTCTAAAATAATATGTAATTTAAGATTTTAAAGAAAAAAAAAAGCAATGTTGCAATAGGAAATCATTACTGACCTAATAAACAAAATGTTCTAGAAAATCTTAGCAATGTGTTAGGCCTATCTACTGAAAAGATGCAGTAACATTTTCTTTTTTACCTGGATTAGACTCAAATAAAATATACACTGTAAAATGAAATACACAAAAGAAACCATTACAAAAAAATCTAGTTCAGATGGCAGATTAGGAGCTTGGTAAACTCTACAGACAGAGGGGCGTTGTTTTCTTGCCTCATTTTTTTTTCTTCTCCAATTTTTTGCCTATTTTTAATGCTACCTTAATCACATCGTCTGCGGCGGAAAAGCCGATAAGCTTGGTGTATTCCGTTAGTTTTAGCCTACTCTCTGACCCAATTACTGGCACACCAGCATCACGCCAACAAGCGTTGCCAAGTTGGCCGCTAAGGACTAAACCCCCCAAGAAAAATACATTGTTGTTTTGGTGGCATCAGATGTGATTAAAAACACGGATAGTGTCATTTCTTCCGGCTTAAGGGGAAGCCCGTTTTAATGAGATTAAAAAAATAAAAAAAATCATGCCTTTCTAAAAACATAAGTGGAAGAAAAAAAAATATAACTACAGGAAATCAGAACAAAGAAAAAAATAAAAGTGCATCTCTTAATGCAGCGTTCCCCAAACGGTGGTCCGTGGTTATGGATGTTTAAATAGAAAGAAAATGTAACTAATAAATCTGGCACCGGTCCCTGATGCAGTTTTGAAACTTGTCCACCGGTCCGTGAAACTTAACAGTTTGGGAAACGCTGCCTTAATGGATTTGCTTCGTGGCATTTTTCATATCGGTGATAGTGCCAGCTGGGTTCCCCCACATAACATCCCATTGCGATACGCAGAAACGTGTTGAAACCAGAGGTTGAATTTATTTAACGCATTTGTCTAGTTTCGCTTTTTGTTATATTTTCTTTGTGTCAATATCAAACTTTCATATTCGATGTTTACCATGCGTCCATGTGTGTATTGCATGATACACCTTATAAGGACATGCGACTGTGGCATGTGCGGTATTTGATTGGGTTACCTCCCCCGTCTGCAGATCATACAACTCAAGAGGAATCCAAAGGGAGACGAGCAGAGGGTGAGGGCGACTCTCAAGAAGTCGACCAAAAAGTCCAAGACGGAGTCGATGCAGAAAGAGAAAATCAAATCTACGGTAGAGGAGAATAGAAGACTCAGAGGCTTTTTAGAACAGGTGAGTTCAGCGTGACGGAGTATGGGGCAGCGATGGGGCCTGGCGTCACCGGGGCAAGGTGGCTGACGTCGTCGGAAACGTTATGGTGTTGGGTCAATGTCCGGGAGGAATCGTGACGTCAACGGGGGTAACGGGGGTTATGGGCTCACTGTCAGACTGGGCAGTATGAAGATCACGTCAGCGTAAGTATTCACTGTCACACTTGGCAGTATGAAGATCACGTGAGCATTCACTATCATACTGGGCAGTATGAAGATCACGTCAGCATTCACTGTCACACTGGGCAGTATGAAGATCACGTCAGCATTCACTGTCACACAGGGCAGTATGAAGATCACGTGATCGTGAGTTTTAATGGAGTTACCGAGGCGTGTTTGTTTTAGGCTCACTGGGGTCGCAGATTCTGTGCTCATTGGAGTGTGACGGTGTCCTATAGTATTGGAATATGGGAGTCAATGGATTATGGGAATTATGGAGGCCTCTAGATTATTCGAACATTTGAGGATTATTTGGTTCACCAGGATGCTCTTACAACATAAGAACTTTTTACATGTATATGAGGAGGGATTTGGGTGGTTTGGGGGGGGGGGGGATAAATCGGTAACTTGAAAGCAATTAAACAATTCTTGGAAATCAAATAAGTTTAGGTTGCAGAGGGGGTGGGGATTTAGATTTCAATTCGTAATTTCTAAAGAAAAATGAAAACCAGGATGCTCTTACAACATAAGAACTTTTTACATGTATATGAGGAGGGATTTGGGTGGTTTGGGGGGGGGGGGATAAATCGGTAACTTGAAAGCAATTAAACAATTCTTGGAAATCAAATAAGTTTAGGTTGCAGAGGGCGTGGTGATTTAGATTTCAATTCGTAATTTCTAAAGAAAAATGAAACCAGCTAACCCAGCCATCAATCTATGACTGACACTTAAGTAAGTGCTTCAAAATAGCAAGGGGGTGCATTGAGTGGGAAAGGGAGGAAGGGGAGAGGGGTACGGAGGGGCAGTCTGCCCCAGGCGGCACTAACCCTTGCCCCATCATCCAATTAGTCGGAAAGAGATTAACACATACCTCCATAATCATAATGTACTCTGGCCTTCAAATCATAGCTTGAAAATCAACGTACACTTTACTGTTGTTGCATGGCATTAAAACTTTATTTCTATTGCATTAAATAATTTCTAAAGGACAGTTTTGTTTCTATAACTCTGAATGGTTTGAATTTTGGACGGCCCCGTGTGTTTTGGGGGTAAAATCCTGTTGTTTTTTTTTTTTATTTTCCAACAATAAAATGATAATATTTTGTCCTGGCAAATTGAATTTCGTTGACTTGCAGCAACGACATAAAAATAAAAATATAAAAATGTTGAAGTTCCCCTTTCACCGTCAACCCAACCCGTACGCAAATATTTAAGTTGAAATATCACACACACAAAAAAAAGGGGGGGGGGGTGGGGGGGTGGGCAGTTGTCATAAAAGATTAAATTTCCCTGGTTATAAAGGTACAGATAATTCTATATATAACATCCGGTCTTTTTATCCCCCCAGGAAAGATATTTTTTCTCGTAAAGCTTTATATCCTTGATTGCTGCGAAATTTGCACAATAAGTAAGTTTTAGATTAACCCTTCAGCTTTCTGGCACAGCTTCATTCGGGACTTAGATCTGAGTTAATATTCTTTTGTCAAGTGCTTTATCTGTGTGAGTAATGCTCTACAGAACAACGTTCAGCTTACTGTAAGGCAGCGGTTCTCAACCTGTGGGTGGTGACCCCTTTTAGGG